ACGGACCACAAGATGAGGCGGCCCGGGGCGGGTGTGGAGTCTCCTTCTCTGGAGATATTCCAGCCCTGCCTGGACAAGTTCCTGGGCAGCCTGCTGTAGGTGACCCTGCTTTGGCAGGAGGGTTGGACTAGATGACCCACAGAGGTCCCTTCCAACACCGACCATTCTGTGATTTTTATATATATGTTTTTATATATTCATGTATAAAAATATATATTTCATATATATATATTTTATATATATTATCAGTATTTTACATGTCCATATACATGCCAGTCGTGTGTGTGTATTTATAAATACATGTAAGTATATAAAAATAGATGACTGCGAGTATGTGACCGTGTGTGTAAGCTAAAACTCAACGCATATCCATGGCTGCACACAGATGTATATTAAATATTTTATAAATACTTGTGTGAGAGAGGATATCACAGTTTTATTTATACATATATATTTGAATCTATAGGTGCAAGAATAGTGTCTGCGAGAGTTTTATTGATTTAATAATTAATAAAAAACGTATTGCATCTGCTACATACGTTGTATGCTGCATACGTTACACATCGATACAACAAGGGTGTCTGAGCCTCCGTAGAGTTTAAACACCTACACGTAGCTACACAGAGCACGTCTGTGTATGGCACTGCGCGTGCCATACGTGTCTACACGCACACATCTGTTCCTGGTAACGGCTGGCGGTGCCCATGCACACGTGTGTACGCCCACACGGTGTGCACTGTGTGTGTATGCGTGTGAAAAAGAGGAGCGGGGAGGGTCCGAGTGTGTACACCATCACATACATATGTGTGTGCATCCATGTGTATAAATACATATCTCTATAAAAATGTTTATTAAAAAAGCTCTGTGTGTATATAACAGACACATACATGCGTGTCTTGTGTGCATGTCTATGTATACACATACATATGTGTGCATACATCAATCTATCTCTGTACACACACCTCGAAACCCAGTGCAGACGGGGTCCCTGGGAGCACCCCCTGCCCCTCAGCCCCAGAGCTGAGCCCCCTGCCCCGGCTCCCTGCCCCTCGCCCCCCATGCTGCTGAGCCGCCCGTCTCCCCTCTTCTCCCCGCCGCGCTGCTCAGGCGTTTGTC